GGTCGGTGGAAACGTGGTAACCTCTCAGCGTATCACCGATGTTGTGCTCAAAGCCTTCCGCGCCTGTGCCGCCTCCCAAGGATGCTGCAACAACCTGACCTTTGGCACCAACTCCAAGCGTGACCCTGAAACCGGCGAGACTATCCCTGGTTTCGGCTACTATGAGACCATCGCCGGAGGCAGTGGTGCCGGTCCCACTTGGAGCGGCGAGTCCGGTATCCACGTGCACATGACCAACACGCGTATCACCGATCCGGAGATTCTGGAGAAGCGCTACCCGACCCTTCTTCGACAGTTCACCCTTCGGGAGGGATCCGGTGGAAAGGGAAAGAACCCTGGTGGCGACGGTGTGGTTAGAGATATCGAGTTCCTCTCGCCGATGGAAGTTTCTATTCTTTCTGAGCGTCGTGTATACCGCCCGTACGGACTCGAGGGTGGCGAGGATGCGCAGCCCGGAATGAACCTTTGGGTCACGAAGGACGTGGATACGGGTGTGGAGCGCGTGGTCAATATCGGAGGAAAGAACACGGTGTCTATGAAGACGCATGATCGCATTGTAATTAACACTGCTGGTGGAGGTGGATGGGGAGCTGTATCTGCATGATGGGTATAATGTTTCACGATGTTTATATGAGCATGTATGGGTATTCGGGTACTAGGATTATATGATTGTTATATTACCATTGGAGAGAATACGATTATCTCGATGTGTTAATACCGCATAGCTTGTGCTCTATCATTTACGTGATGCCAAATTCCTCCGATGGATTGCAGGAATTCAGGATAAATTATCCACCCCGCCTGAAAGTACAATGATGATGTAGTTTGGGATGCTAGTAGTCCACATTTCAAGCATGACATATGTCAGTTATCTATTGCTACCAGCTTTACTTTCAACTCCGCTGATTATTCATATACACAGTCCTATTGGGAAATAACTGGCTCGTATATTGCCCCCACGTTGCGAAAATTTTGGCACCCAACGTAAATTCCAGTAATCCTTGAGTTGCTCGGGGCCACGTATACTTGGTCGCTCCCGCGCTGCCGGGTGGTGCAATCCACAGCTGCCCTATCCTTACACCATACATCTCGCCACCCATAATCCACAGCTGTTTCCGGGGTGTACGGCGGTTCGAAGGCGAGACTAAGCCTCTGGCATTTGGGTGATGTGTTGTATTCGACCTCGAAGTCAATCTCAACCAGCTCAGACCCTGCGACTGTAGCTGACATGCCGACAATATCACCATCCCGTGCAATATGAATGGCCTGGCGGGAGTCGGTGTCTATATCACCCGTGCTTGCCATGAGACCTGACGTATAGACGAAGAGCAGCCCAATGATAGCGCGGGCTCGAAAGTAGGCTTCGACGGTGGCTATCCTTTCGGGCGCGGTGTTGTCATTCCGTGTCTCGAAGTAGAGCTTCCGTACCTGGTCAAAAGGGGGAGAGACTTCTGGGACAAGTATTTCAGGTCTGCGGTTTTTGTGGGGAGAATTTACTGCTCGGACGCGGTCCGAAGATTCATTGAAGATCCATGAGATAGCTGTTAGATCCTCATCGAAGCAACGTTGGTATTCATTTCGTATCATTCCAGCGGCGGGGAAGGGATGAGGGAGCGGAGATCGAAAAGTCACACTGCGCGCACATGTTGTTTCAAAGCGTATGGCTGCGACTTGACCCACTTCCAACCCCGGAGACTCAGCGGAAAAGCCCAGAGGAGTGATCCACACGGTGACTGACTGGATTTCTTCGTCTGGTGATATATCAAACCCATCTTCGAGTTCATTCATCCACTGTCCAACAATGGCTGGACTGGGATGGTTGTGATACTCAAGCTTCAGGCCGGAGATGCCATTTGGTGGGCGTGACCAACCTGAGATGCCAGCGGATGCCTGGATTTTCCGGATTCCCTTTAGTGATGCATAAGTTTGATAGTTACCTGGATTGGTGCTGTTGATAAAATGAGAGAATTTTTCATCGTATCGAATTTGATCAACCGGCACCTGATGACATTCGCGGTCTATGATGTGTGGGATTGTGGGTGGTCCGTCACAGAACTGTGATTGGATACCGAGTTGGATAAATTGGGTTCCGTATGTCTGTCACTTACTCAGCTATTGTTCGAACTAGTTCTTGAAGCTCTACCTACCTTCTGGTGGGCAGCAAGTCCTGTGATGTGATGACCGAGCGGCAAGCTTGGTATCGGTGTAATGGATGCTTTGAGCCGATAGCAAAGGGGAGCCAGTATAACAGATCGTCCATAGTTTGTTGACACCTTCACAAGGTTAGCGTGGTGCACGGATGCTTGGGAACAGAGAAGCGCAGACCTGTAGCCCACCAAGTCCTTCAGACTGAACGAAGTGACGGTTGTCTTCCACAATGCTTACCCCGCTGATACGTTCGCCATTCGGGCCATTGATGGGAATTGAAATGGCACAACCACCAGTAGAACCAAAGAAAACCGACTTTCCGTCGGCGTAGTGATAGCCCATGCCTATAAGAGGGTGGGGGTAAGATGTCACGTGAAAGTCCCGTCTGGTCAAGGACATCAGATATCTACCACCTGGGCCACCGAAGTCCATATTCGACAACGGTTTAAAGGCACGGGGTGGCTCAGGCGGTAAGAGAAGGCTGACAGACAAGCCCTCATACATGGGTGCATGAGGAGCCCACAACTGGGAATGCGCGCGAAGCGAGTCCTTCACGTCCGAAGGAGAACGATGCAAAGACCCCTGATGGGCATCAGTCGATTCAGTAAGGCCAAGTGAAACAATCTTAAACCGGTCTACGTCGGCCAGCAAGTGGTACTGGTTTGGTCTTTTCGGAATCTGCAGTGTTCCTTGAGCCATCCCTGGGCCGTTGCTATCACCAAGCCAGCATGATGGAGCAGAGTTATCGTACTGTAACTGAATCACCATCAAGCCTTCCGAGTAAAATGCCACGCGAAACGCCCTGATGAAGAGGTTCTTCGGCACGTCTATACAGGTTTCGGTACCTGGATTGCGGTAACCAATCAATCGACCAACACAGTTGCCTTCGTCCGGCGGGAATAAACTGATACCAGAAATGAAACGCCGTGCGCCGATCTTGACAGTTGATATACCAATTCGTCTTCTGTGCTTTTCCTGCGGGAACATGAAGGGCTGTGCCTTTCGGTAGAGCACACGACATCCCTCTTGTAGGGGGCAATCTTCATCATTATATGCCAGCTGGCCTGAAAAGTAGCCCACAACCTTCGCTAGCTGTGGGCCCGCTTCAATATCAACCAGAGTGAAGTCGTTCCCTCGCATTGGCGCCGGAGAATAGTCCAGTCCGCCGGGACCGCGTCGAAAAATGGAGTCTAGGTCCACAAGGGACGCCATGGGCTCCAGTAGGTCCCGGATTCTCTTTCGATTGACTAGTGGTGGCGTGGCAGCTTTCAAAGATGCCCTCGTAGCGAAGAAAAGTTTGAACCAATCTTGTGTTTCTGAAAGACAGGGGAAAACAAAGTCAGCCTCCTGGCCCAGAAGGAACCTACTCCGCCAATACGACTGTGGAAGCATAGATATATCTGCGAGTACCGCTAGGTCGCGGCATACGAGCCTCAGAGTGAGAAGCTGTTCAAAGGGTACATATGAAAAGAACTCAAGCAGCAGCTCAGTTGAGAGGCTACTAAAGGCATGATACCTCCTTTTCCCCACCTCTGTAAGGCTTCCTACTCTTGAGTTGGGGTGCGACAAGTATCTCCCTGAGCTGCTCATCGAATTCTCCGAAGCAGAAATGGAATCAGTCGGATAAGCCATACCAGAGATCGCACAGGGGTCAGCATAAAGATGGGAGTCCAAATCCACCGGCTGTATCCGCCCGCGAATTCTATGTGTTTGCGCAGCGCCCGCATAGTCATGGCCGAAGTGGAAGATGGAGCCTTCGAGGCACGGAGTGCAGTAGAGTTGGTAGAAGACCATGTCGGCAATTGCCACGTCAGTTAGTGATGGCGATTCGACTCGCCCATGTTGGAGCCTAAGAGTGAGCAGTTTCCAACAGGACTCATGAAATCCAAAGCACCATTGACTATCCGATCGTTCGCAAAGCCTCCATTCATCCAGGTCGTCAGGTGCTACATCGCCATAGACTCGATTGCTGTCCAGTGGCGCATGGAGGCTTTTCCGACCGCGTACTATTCCTACCCCAGTAGTTTTAATGTGATCGACGCCAGGATTGGTCGAGTAGATACCCCGAACCTGCGCGTACCAAGGGCGGGCGCCGGACTGTGGGGAGTCTGGACCATACGGATCGGGCAGCAGGATCACCCCACAAAACGGACAGTAGACATTAGACACCATCCTGAGAGGTGGCACACTTGTGCCCTTTGGAAGAGAAATAATTGGAGAACGATGAATCTGGATTTAGATGGATGTCTCAGGAGAGGGTCAATAGATATGTCTGCTAGTCGGGAGCATGTTGGCGGACTACCAGTGTGGTTGCGTGTGGCCGCGGGGAAGTAATGGGCCAGTTATTGGCCAGGAGCTCTTCAGTCGGGCGCTACAGACCGCTTGCTATGGCAGGGGATACTAGTACACGCGTGGTTTTCCTATGGGCAACTCTACAAATTTGGCTTTGAAGGTGCCACGATGGCCAATTCCTTGATGATCTTCAACAAACTCTCAACCATTCCGAAAACGTATTTGGAGCAGTGGCTATTGGTACGAAAGTGAAGTTTTTCCGGTTCAACGGAAAAGCGCCAGTCAACCGAATGCTTACCCTGCTTCACCGCGATACCTTGGATCTGATAATCCCGAGCCAGCTCATCCAAGTCGGGAATATGCTGGACTACATCAAGACAAATGGGTGGCAGTGGCGTAGCACCCTTTTAAACAAATTTCGCATAAATTTATAATTGCTCCTTAGGAATTCCAATGAAGCGTTATTGAGACAACCATCGTATCAAGCAAGTGCTAACCAAACACCCTAGCAGACCACCCTGTCAACCTAAAGTAGGTATGGCAGCCAAAAGAGGACAAAATTAGAAGATGACAACTATATCTTCCACCTCGTCGAATACATTATCCACCGCAGCGTCATTTTGACCGGGGAAGGAGGTGTCAGCACTCGGGCTAGTGGAAGGACTTTCCTCTGCTTCTTTTGCAGGGGACTCGATACTCTCATTTTGACCAAATTGGCTCTCACCAGGGACATCATAGGAGCGTTTCTGGGAGTCAGCCATCAATTCCACCTTTCTTTGTAGCAGCCTTTCACGGCTTCTCTTAGTGGCTCTCAGTTTATCCTTCAGGTCAAAGGTTTCAGCCTTGCGCTGCTCCTTCACCCCTGCAGCATCTTCAGCAATTTGGGCATTGGATTCGGCGAAGTAGTCTGTGCCCCCAGGAGAGCCAGGGGCTTGGGCTTCGATCTCAGTTTCAGGAGCCGACCTTTTGCTCTGCTTTTCTGCTACCACGACTTGAGCTGGATAAACAATCACTTCTTCGTCTCCTCTGCCCTGGTCGTCGCCCTTTTTCACTACCAATGGGAAAAGGACTAAACGAACAACCGCATGTTCGGTTTCTGCTTCTTCATCTGATGCATACACGCCGCTCTGATCATGCATTAAGGAGGAGTTGAAGAAAATCTGGTTTGTCAAATTTCTCTGAATGTCATACTCAGGCAGAAGAGGAGGTAACATAATGTAATCTGCCAGCTGCGTACGCATTTCAAAAGAGAGGTCCACAGCGCTACGCAATACCTCGTGGAGCTCATTGCGCAGGGGAGGCTCATGTGGTCTCCCGACCGTTAGCATAGACATAAGTGTATCGATTATTGTTATCGAAATCGCTTCAATATCACGTTCTTGCTGCTCTTTCAACTCGATATCCTGTGCCAATAAAGACAACGTCGTGGCTCGCCAGCGATAAACTGCTTCTTGTGGTAAAGTCTGAGACAATTCCTTCTCCAGCCGCTTGATTGCTGAGCGTATCGGCCTTTCCAAACCAAAGAGATATCGTGTAAATATAAATTCCCATACCATGGTCATCGTAACGGAAATAAAGGTATCTTTCCGATAAAAGGGGTTGGCAAGGAGTCCATCGACGTCGGACCCATCCAGTATGGCATTGCGGAATCGATCAGCAATATGCTCGTTCAGTTCACCAAGCGAGAGACAGGGCGCATGATTGGAGTGTTCCAAAAGCATCGAAACCCATCGAGAACATTTGCCAAAGAGTGTTGCTAACGAATGCTGAAAATCATCCTCATCATAAATGACTAGAGAAAAATTCGACAACTCGCCAGGCCGAGCATTACCTTGCGGTAGCGTGATATGGCGAGAAAGCATTCCAGATCCCGAAAGAAACCCAGCAGCTTCTGCCCCACCTTTTATAGCGCCTTCAGCCTTCATGACTCTGGTTATAGAAGTTCCATCGAGATCAGCATAACGTGATAGGGCGGGCGACAAGAACTCTTCCTGGGCCACAGATGGTGATAGGAAACCCGGCGATGCAGGCTCTTCATTAGAATCCGAGCGTGGTCTGGATGGAGATGAAGATGCAGGCTGATGGGATAGAGTTGCTTGGTGTTCATCCTCTTCGTCTGTGGAGGATTCGCTGTCAGATGGGGCTGGCAGTGGCGCTCGAATGGCCGAGGAGTGGTCACGATCCAAATATCTAGGGTCTATAACACTTAATGATGGAACGGAATGCATGTCGAGGAGCCGGATGCTTTCTTCTTCGGTGAGGGGTGGCCCACTATCAGAGCGGCCTGGCGATGGTGGGGTTTGAAAGGGTGCCGTTACAGGATCTTGGTTCTCGATGCCAGCTAAGAACGCAGCCATCATATCTTCGTTACCATTCGGGTCTTCTGAAATGCAGCGTATCTTGTCTTCTGTCAAGTGGTTGTTTTCAGTTGGCATCTTGCGAGATTCCATGACAGGCAGGTCTTCCAGACTCATCTGCTCAGATAATTCAGTAGACCCGGATCCCACTCTTCCTGTATCGTCCGATCGTCCTGTGTCAAAATAAGGATGATCTTCGTAATAGTCACCGTATGAGTTACCATTACATTCAAAGTCTCCCTGTGCCCATGGCAAGGCCCTAAGCGAGAATGCATGCAGATGCTCGGCAATATGGTTCAAAATGACATTAAAATCCGGGTCTGTCAACCCACAGAGTGGACATGATTCGATAGAGGGTGGCTGTTTTCGGCGCCAGGCAGAGGCCAACATGGGGATTTGCTGGGGTTTGATACCCCTTGAATGCTTTTGCTCTAAATGTTCAGTCAATGCCGAGTCTTCAAAAAACACCCGTCGTTCGCTCGAGCCATTGCATGCGAGGCAAACCCAGTGGGAAGTGCCGCGATGATCTGTGAGCATGTGCGACAGCCAGAGATCCTTTGTATGATAAAGCCTTTCGGGACGAGGGCAATCTTCTAGAATACATGTGTAAGGAAGAATATCTCTGGAGAGATGTTTTCTAAATTGCTTTTGATGAGTTGTAAAACCGATGCCGAGAGTATCAATACGTACTTCCACTGACTTCCTCTGCCCACGGAAGCTGGCAATGTCTGGCAACAGCACGGACACTGGAAAATATTTTGATCACTCCTAAGTGGTGGAGGTTTGGGATATGTCACACGAGAACTTATTGCAGATATGACTGTGGTCGTTGGCTGGGCACTGGATCGCGTTGGTAACTGAATTGGATCTTGTACATCCGTTGCAGTTGTTGTGCTATACACTTTTGGTAGTTCAGGCTCTTCCGTCGACCTTGCGAAGGGGTTGGCACCCGGTGGCGGGGGTGCTTTTTGAGGGGTTTGTATCGATGTCGATACTGTAGGATCCCCATCGGATAGCTTGATTGCATGACGCTGAGCATACAAAAATCGATTTCTCCGTTTAAGGTTCGCTTCGATGAGTCGTTGCTGAATAACAGTCAATGACCGCGAATCGGTCACAATGGTCTCATCTACGGGCGAAGTCAATACCACGCCATGCGAAGAAATCAGTACCCGCAGAGTGCCATTATTAGTAGGTCTTGATAGTAACAGCAGCTGTAGATGAATTCTCAAAGCTTTGACCTGCGGATGATCAGGGTCGTAAGAAGCATCAGCTTTCTGAATCCGAGCATTAGTGCCAGCCTTGCGAATGGAAGTTGTGATCCGACTGAGTTGGCCAATAATGGATTTCACATCCTGCATAGCCTGATCTAACGTATCAGTGTGTCCGTCGGTTCCTAGGAAGAAGTCATTCCTCGTCCTTTCTGCTAAATGTGATGACTCGACAGTACCTGTCTCAACGCACCGTTCCACAAATGCCTGCAGCATTCCCAGAAGATTCACCACAAATATTTTTGCGTCCGGGTTTGAGGACAGTCTAGCATCGAGGGATGCTTTTCCGAACTTCAAGGCCCCGGCTCCACTAGCCCACAGGTTCAGATCGGCTAGACGGTTCTCTGCCCATTCTCGAAGAGTAGGCACAGCAGCCGAGTCTCGAAAGACCCGGTGACAGGCCAGCGTGGCCTCATAGATGGTAACCTGGTCTGCCATAACTTGAGTACTAGTATGAGTTTGGCAATCTCGATCAGCCCCAGTTGGAGTGTCTGGTCCATTTGGGCTTAGCTCAACACGTGCTGCACCTTGCCAGGTTACCCCGCCCCCGCTGACTGTTTCAACAAACATCTCCGTTCTCATGCTGCAGTTATCCAGCCTTATCATGCCTCATGGACGAGGAAGATGTCCTGGATCTGGGCGGTCAAGTACTACCGTGGATCAGTAACCAAGCCATCCTGATAGGGCAACAGACGCGTAATAAGGTTTACGGTACGCTGGGCTGCGAGCTGTTCGTTCTATCCCAGCACATCCCAACTATCAGCGAGACAGCCCTTGCGCGAGAGAGATTGCTGAAGATATTCGAGATTATCGATAAAGCGTGCTCAGTGGGTCTCCCCAGACGAGCGACCCCATACGTTGTGCACTAACTCACTACTCAGACGTCGCGGAACGAGGCAGATCGATTTCGGGCTCTGAACAGAATCCGTAGTTACAAGGATTCCACGAGCAGAATCAGACAGACTGTCATTAGAGAGACACAGGAAAGCTTGAAGCATTTTGCCCTACATAGCCCAGAATACCATGCTCTCTTGCGACTGATTTCCGATTGCTTGACGGTGGACGAAACAGAGCCACTCTATACCGAGGAACATCAGGACGATCACAATGTCGGATACCCAGGGTACTTGAACGAAATCCTCTACAATCAGCTACAGACCTACGCTACATGTGGCTGCCGCACCGGACACTTGGAATCGACTCGACTGCGACTGAGTATTGAGAGCCAGATCGTAGATGACGATGTTTCCTTTGAGTTCGTCTTTAAGGCCAACTCCTTCCCACCTACGCGTTCCCCCTCATTCGTGCAGTGGAAGGAGTCGAACGTGACAGTCACAAGGTAAGACAGAAGGCACGGCTGGCAGAAACCACAACTAACGGCCGAGACGTGATTCCGCAGACAAACTGATGTCCAGAAGAGCAAGAAAAAGGTTGGGTTCGCATCCCCAAATCGTAATCTATCCTCACCGAAACGCCACAGCCCGCACTTATCATCACAACGCTTAAGACGGATTGAGGTGGGGGAATTCTGCAAAGTGATCGGGAGTCGGCTTGGGAGCCCTGTACAATTTTATATCCAATCAAACGTCCTGAAGGTGATCGAACCACCTGATTCTAAGCCCTCCCGTGGCATTCGCCCTACTGAAGGCCATTCTCTAGGGCACTGGCTCAGACAAATACCCCATCTCTCCAATAAGGGAAAGTCTCATCTAGCCTATACCATTGCCAAGTCCGTCTGGCAGTATTACAGTTCACCGTGGATGATGGCGCCCTGGACCCACGACAGCATTGAATTGTTAATCGAAGAGACTGGCCTGGCAGGTCAGGAAAGACCACATCCTTATCTGACAACGAACATGGTTCGAGCGATAGTTAAACCTACAGACTGCTACTATGCTGATGATCTCATGCACCAATATCCAAACATTCTGGCATTGGGGATTCTTCTTATCGAAATTGCCATCAAGCAGCCCTTAACAAGTGAAGAATGCCCTCTCCCCTTGAGCGAAACTGCGATGAATGACTACTATACGTGGGCGTGGACAACGGCAAACAGAAGCAACTTGAAGGACATGGTGCATCCTACATATGAAGAGGCTGTTAATAACTGCCTCAACCCTGAGCTATTTGGAGGCTACTCAATACAACAGTATGCAGAGGCAGAGCAGATCAAGGCCCGACAGAGGGTTCTTTACGAGAAGATTGTTTCCCCATTGAAAAGATTGTCCGAGGCCTATCAAGATGACTGGGATATCCAGAGTCCTCCTACCACGGAGACGATTGGGACATCCTCCCACCATGCCTTTTCAGAGCAGACGGTCATTACCTCACATTTCCCCGTCCAGGAAGATTTCACGATCGCAATATTTTGTGCCTTGCCGCTAGAGGTTGATGCGGTTAGCGCTGTGTTTGATGAACGGTATGAAGACTTAAGGCTGTATCAGAACGCGCTGGGAGACTCGAACACGTACACTCTTGGTCGAGTGGGTCGTCATCACGCTGCTCTGGTACATCTCCCGGGAATGGGAAAAAGCGTTGCGTCTCAGGCCTCCTCTACTATACGGTCAACCTATCCGAACATTAAGCTCGCTCTAGTGGTCGGAATCTGTGGCGGTGTTCCATACAAAAAGGGGAACAAGGAGATCCTCCTCGGAGATATAGTAGTCAGTGATGGAATTATCCAGCATGATTTTGGGCGAAGGATTCCTGGGGCATTCCTGCCGAAAACATCAGTTACCGATGGGCTTGGACGGCCCAATACCGCTATACGTGGTTTTCTTTCGAAGGTAAAGACGACTATGGCACAACAGCGGATGTCAAACAAGATTAAGACATATATGGGAGCTATAAGCCAGATGCTTGGCCATGACACTGCTCGATATCCAGGGGTGGAGCAAGATGAACTCTACGAGTCAAGCTATCAGCATAAACATCACGGCAGCACCACTTGCAGCAGTTGCGCAGACTCAACCAGCAATAGGGTCTGCGACGAAGTTTTTGATCTATCGTGTCATGAATTGGGATGCCGCAGAGAGAACCTTGTAAAACGGAAGCGGCTCCAGGCTGCACTCACACAGGGGCATACCCCCACTCCGGCAGTTCACTTGGGTCTCATTGCATCTGGAGATACTGTCATGAAGTCTGGGCTAGACAGAGACCTCATCGCAATGCGGGATAGTGTGATAGCGTTTGAAATGGAGGGTGCAGGGGTCTGGGATATTCTGCCTTGTCTAGTGGTGAAGGGCGTTTGTGACTATGCTGATAGCCATAAGAATAAAATATGGCAACCGTACGCTGCAGCGACAGGGGCTGCCTGCATGAAGGCTTTGCTCGATGAGTGGTCATTTTGATACAGTTAGAGCATATAGTGCATGTTTATAATCTATAACGTAACAATGCTTGATAGACGTCTCAACATTCTTATACTTGGTCTCATACTGAAAGATGCTTTTGAAGTTAGTACCCGAGAAAAACAGTCTTTATGGAATATCTGCCATAATCCGATGATAATAACCATCACTTTCCTGTGTTCGGTACATAGTATTAAGGAATAATGATCTCGCTGGGATAACCGACGGACCCAATCAAAGAGGCTCTTATGCAGGCTGCCGCAAAAGCAAGTATTGATGCAGACCATTGGCTTCCTGCGGCCGTTCGGGGCTTATCTACGGAAATTACTTAGTACCAGGCAGCTACGCCGGGCTACCCACGGACCCCGGCGCAACTTGACTCCTCACTCTCCGCATCTTCTTCCATCTCACTTCTTTCCACTTTTCGTCTCTCATTGACGTCCACCTCCTTCTACACAGAATCAAGCACAATGGTCCTCCGCCAGGATAGAAACCCGCTCACTCCAGAGTTTAACGCTCTCGTCGAGAGGTTGCGTGAAGAATGGCACATCCCAGGCCTGAGTATTTCGATCGTGCACGGTTCCAGCACCTACGCAAAGGTACCTCCGCCGTCCAAGGTTGCCATTAACCTTAGAATCACATTAACAATTACTCCAGGCCTACGGTTATGCTTCCTTTCCCTCCACACCTATGACCACCACCTCCCTCTTCACAACCTGCGGCACAACCAAAGCCTTCACCGCCGCCGCATTGTCCCTGGCGATTGACGACAGCCATTCCACCCCGCATCCGATCTCCTGGTCCACACCCGTCTCCTCCATCATTCGTGACGACTTTGTTCTCTCCACTCCTTCAGCCACAACCAACACTACGATTGAAGACATCTTATCTCATCGCAGTGGGCTCCCAGGCCACTTCTTTGCTATGGCCATGGCTTATCCGAACGAGACTTTGCGCACCGAAGTCCGCAGACTTCGATGGCTACCACTCGCCTTCCCACCACGAACAACGTTCAACTACTGCAACCATATGTTCATGGCTGCCACATATTTGTTGGAACACATAAACGGCGAAGGTCTCGGAACGACACTCAAAAGGCGGATCTGGGACCCACTGGACATGAACGATACATATTTCTCCACCGCCGAAGTGCAAAAGTCCCCCACCTTGTCCAAGAGACTAGTCAAGGGCTACAGCTGGAACCCGGAAACACACACCTATCACGAAGAGCCATATATCAACTATGCTCCGACGACCGGGACCGGAGCGATGGTTTCTAATGTGATGGATTACGCGAAGTGGCTGCGCGCGATGCTGTATCAGACACCGCCTATCTCAAAAGAGGGGCATACCGCACTTCGTATACCCAGAACAGTCATTGCCGACTCGGATTGGAAGGATATGCTCGCTCCACCGGGGGCATACCATCTCTATACGATGGGGTGGTTCATTGACCATTACCATGGAGAACAGATATATTGGCACACGGGCAGCTGGGATGGATTTGGAATTATGGTGGGCTTTCTGCCTGCAAGAGGTTTTGCGTTTGCTATGATGGGAAATACCCAAAACGCGAGGGTTGCACAGTTGGAGTTATACTTGTATCTCATTGATCAGCTGCTGGGGAAGAGTGGAGCGGACAGGGAAACTCATGTGGGGAAGCTAGGGGCAAAGCTTAAGGAGATGGAGCGGAGATACAACGAGAGCGTCGAAAGTGTGGTGGCACGGTTGTATCCAGACCTAAACACGAGGTTACCACTTGCGTTGTCGCTGGGAGCGTATACAGGGACATATGCGCACCCGGGATATGGGGATTTGAGGGTGTGTGAGGAGAGCAGCAAGTTGGTTGTTGATTTGAGGGACCGTGTGCTGAGCAAGTATATGCGTTTTGAGCATGTCAGTGGGGATTTCTTCGTTGTCAAGTGCTATACCCCTGGGGCTGAGGCTGTGGGACCAGAGTATTTGAAGGCTGAATTCTATGTTGATTCGGACGGAATAGTGACGAGCTTGGGGTTGGATTTGGAGTCTACTGTGGGGGAGAAGATCTGGTTTCAACGAAGAGAGTGAAGAATATACGCCACCAGCAACAGTGGAACGTTGTTGTGCACTACCCATTTGGCAACTATCATTATGAGAGTATTGGGTATAATATAAAATCGCGACTCTCATAAAGGATACTGCAAGGATAATGGTAGATGCCAAGATGACATGGCTGAAGATATTCAAGCCTCTTAGTAGTATATATAAACCAATCGAATCGTGGCAGCACAATAGTTCGCCCGAAGCCCACTACATGTCCACTCCTTCGGATTCCCACCAGAATCAGCTAATATCCATCATCCAACCTAATCTCAATCCACACACTGAGAATCATGTACATCTACCCCCTCCAACTCCCAACATGCACGCCACCCCTCTTCGCCAACTCCCTATCAAACTCACTCTCACCACCCGTCGCATTAATAATCCTCTGCAACATGGTGCTCAAATCATCAAACGTGATATTCTCCTTTGCACGACTCCACCCCAGATCCAGCGGAAGACGCTCATTCTCTACAGTCCATCAGTCAGCACACCACCCAGCACCACCACACCCAAAAGGACTCAAACTCACCAAAAAGATACTCCACCCTAGACCGATTCACCAACCCCTTCTCCTTATCCCCCAGCACAATAATATACGCCGCCGTCTCCCCGTAACTAAATGAGTTGCCCAGCTCCGACATCGTATAATTCGGATTCGTAGCCATGGAGGTGTTAACACGCGCTTGGCGCGACAGAGCAGCCTGCTTCACGTCGATGATGGGAGAAGTCCAGTATGAGCGGGTCTCGTCGAAGATGGTCTGGTTGAAATCGTGGTTGTCGCCGAAGTAAGCGTCTTGGCGGCTATCATATGGTAAATGGTTAGAGTGGAGGGGTGGAATAGGAGATAGACGGGGGAGGGACATACCTCAAGCTGGCATCATGTTCGAGGATATCATGACGGCTTAAGTCATTCAAGGAGAAAGTGGTTGCGTTGGGGGCGGGGTTGGTGGTCACTGCTTCTTGGTGGAGGTATATGGCGAGTTCTTCGTCGATTCCTAGAGCGTTATAGAGGGCGTTGATGGTGTGTTGCTCGGTGATGTCCTTGCCGTTGTGGGGGAGATAGCCGTGGTTGGCGAGGGTGTTGAGCATTGGGCAGGGGGCGCGGACTGGTTATTTCTCTGTTAGACTTGGGTATGGAGAGTGAAGTGTGGGATGGCCTACCGTCGTTAGGGCCTGGAGGGGACCAGGGAAGTGGGTGCGGTACTCCTTGTTGTGGGAATGCATTGGTCTGGGTAAGGGCCGCGGCCAGGCATAGTAGAGTGGTTGTCTTCATGATGGTGGATGCTGGTAGTAATAGCAAAGCTGAGTTGGTATTCTGGAGGAGTAAAAAATCGGGGACTTGCTGAAATTTATATCTGAATGGAGATCTGCAGCTGAGCGATATAGATTACAAATGCTGGATTATCACTTGCCATCGTCACCTCCAGGGAGTGACGCTAATGTTATTTATAAAATTGTGGAGCAGCAGTTGTAGGCCAGTCATGCCGTTGTAGATGGAGCAGGTTTCAAATTGATTCGATCTGGTTGAGGGCACGATGACAGCCCTGAATAGGCAAGTCGCTAGCCGTCTTTGACTGAATATATACGAGCACGGTGGTGGCACCGTTGGCCGTCGCGATGTATGTGATGCATCGAGTTTACTATGATTGGCTACACTTGCAGCTTTGGAATGCTGCGCAAACCAAAACCCACTGGACCCGTGGACTGTGACCTGGGACGCCTGATGGCCAAGAGCTTGCTGTGATGTAATCACTCGCCCAGGTCAATGCTGCAGCATCCTAAGTGGTTTCCAGCACCATGATGGTAGAGTTACATTCCTCCATGATTGCATGTCCAAAATTGTAACAGTCTGCTGCCTAAATAACGTCCCGTGGGAACATGCAAGCCTGCGGAGGATTCAGGCGGTCATAATTTTGTTTTGTTATTAGTGAAAGCTGATAGGACAGCTGTACGGTTTCTAGACCTTGGCATTTTCAGGAATCAAGTGTTGGCACGAGCTCCACTGCTAAGGCATCAGAATAATATGATTGATCAAACCAGATGCTATTTGGGACGGGTCAAGGTATGAATCCTGCGGGAGGCATAAGCCGCCTCATGCCAAGGGATCTGCAGCCGAGCCCCAGGCGCTGTCCAGATTAGGCTTAGTGTCATCTTTCACGAATACGATGGGCTCAATTGGGAAGATGAGTTGCCGTTTTGGGACGGTTATCACGAATACGTCAAGACCGGAGAAATCAACAAGCGAAAATCTGTACCGGATATATTTGTATATCAAAGGGGTAACATCTACCATGTTTCGTGAGGAAGAAGTGTCGTAAGCTGTGACTAACTCCTATCAACCAGAGCGCAAACTTCAGCTTCGAAACTGTTGAAGAGAAGATGTATATCTCCTTATAAATATTGTGTGATGTTGCGTGCCGTCGAAAATGGATTGTTTTTTTTTCTACAATTGCCGATGTTAACCACTATTGCATCAGTTACTAGCTTGACTTCACTGACAACCCCAGATTGGACCTCTTAATTACTTTTACTGCTTCCTTTCCAACAATCATGAGTGCTTCAGGCCAGGGAAGCTCAGAAACACAGGCATACGGCAGCGATACATGCCATGCCTATGTGGATGGCGTGTCAACTTCATACGGCTATGTGCCCTCGCTCGCAGCAGCCTCTACCTTTGTAGCTCTCTTTGGCGCTTCGATGCTAGGCCATGCTGTCCAAATGGTGTGGTTTCGTACCTGGTGGTGTTCCGTGTTCTCACTAGGATGCTTGGGTATCTTGACCACCCCAGAGCCTAGATCAATAATGCTAACTAGAACACAGTCGAAATCCTAGGTTGGGCGGCCCGAATATGGTCTGCTAAGTGCCCCTACGCTCAGACACCGTATCTCATGCAAATCACTACCCTCATCATAGGTGAGATATCCCATTGCTAGTAATGGGGCACATCTGACGTTTCATTGGTAGCACCAACGTTCTTCACCGCAGGAATTTACGTCCTGCTAGCCCGTTTCATTCGCATCTTCGGCCGCCAATCATCTGTCCTTTCTCCTAAGCTCTACCTCTGGATCTTCTGCACCTGCGATATTATCTCTTTGGTTGTCCAGGCAGCAGGAGGTGGTATGGCTTCATCAGGAGGAGGAGGTGGTGGTGGTGGTGGTGGGGATTCGTCCTCCAGCACCAGCTCGTTGAGCACCAGAGAGACCTCCTCCTCCTCCAACTCCCAATCAACCGGAACCCACATCATGGTCGGCGGCATCATATTCCAGCTCGTGGCTATAACAGTCTTCGTTGCCCTTGGCGCTGATTTTGCCTGGCGCGTATTCTGCCGCGAAGTACCATTTCGGAGGGGTAATGCGCACATGCCGATGGTGATCGGTTTATTTTCGGCAATGGTGTTTTCGGTCCTCTTAATATATATTCGGAGTGTATATCGGACCATTGAGTTGCTACATGGTTGGACCAGTTCAACAATGCGAAATGAAAAACTATTAATTGGGTTGGATGGAGCGATGATGGTGCCGGCTGTTATTGTTTTCAATCTCTTTCATCCGGGGCAGTTATTGCGGAAGATTGAATTGCGGGCCAATTCGGTGCCCATGGTGAGTGAGCAGACTTTGGTCTTGGAGGACCTTGAGGAGGAGAGTCAGGGGGATAAGTCGGTGTTGCTGGGAAGGGGCTAGGCTTGAGCGACCAATGGATGTGGGTAGGATTGATGCAGTGACAGGTAGGGCTAGTGTATCTCAAGAAGTATCTATTAGTGCGCAGATTCCAGGGCGGAAGCATTGGATCAAAAATGATTTGTTCTCTTGGTACAATGAATCCTGCGTGAGAGCTGATTCCTCTCATTAATCTGATTGTGCTGCTCCCCCATATTTGCTACCTGCACCATTGTGCATTCCAATCTCCTCCATCGGCCAATGTACCCACCGACGATCATCTTGATCCAAGCCCTCCTCAATACCCCCCATTATATGCTCCGCCCATCCCCGAGCAAACCACACCCCATCATGCAGTTTCATAAGAACCAAGAAATAGGACAGCAGTATCAATGCCATCGGCTCCTTTCTCTGGAAGGCATCCAGTCCATCCTCGAAGCAACATATCCAATCGTAGATGATCATCGCTAACCTGCCAATGTTACACTCTCCCCCATCTTGTCTTTCCCCACACATCTTATCGAGCATCCGCTCCAACATGTCAATCGCATCAAGATAACAGTCCCTCAGATCTCGACCATTTACTTCTTCCCGTGCTTGACCAGGCAGAAGAATCCGCTCCCGCAAGGCCTCAAAAGGTCCCTGGTAGTCCATTCCCAACACCTTGCCTCCTTCATTGACTGGAGATGGGGTATTCTTTTTCTCCCGAGGCTTGATATCACCAGAAATCCCCGAAAGTGTTTTCACTCCTCGCACCAATGAAGGCCATTCGGCCATGCTTTCATGATCAGTACCAATTGAAAAGAACAAATAGTCCCCCGGTCGCGGACCCCGAGCCATAGGCAAAAAACATAAGATGGTGGCCCCCACCCACACCGCCTGAATATTGTCGGGTTGGATATGACCGACACGAGACAATAGTTCACTTAACCCTATGGCAGAATGATGATCTGCTCTGTTTATGAGCAGTGATCTATTTTCTTCACGATGTGAATGTGCGTGGTCGGAGTTGATTCTGGCTTTGTGAAGGCCAGCTAAAGCCAAGATAAGATGCAGGATAAAGGGATGCATGATTGCCAACTTGGGGGCTTCATCACGCCAGAAGCGAAGACTGCCGTCATCTTCGGCGAGAGTGTAACAGGTTGAGGTTAGGTAGTGGTGGTGAAGAGTGAAGTCGTAAAAGTCAAATGTTGTAGGGGTGGGAGTGGGTTGAGAAGAGGATGGCGAGGGGGATGGCAAATTGGATGATGGAGATGGGGAAGATTGAGCGCCAGTTGAAGCCCAGGTAGCTGATTTGGCAATAGAGTCTGGAATTGGGAGTTTGGATGTGCTTTGATACTCGGATGGGACGAAAATCCAGTTGATGAGACGCTCTGACTTGGCTGATAAACTAGACTGGGAGGCTCTTGCTGATGATGATTGCATTCCCAGACTGGTTGACAGAGAGTATTCACAATCGACCGAGTGATTCATGCAATTGGTGCATTGTGGCCGTAATTCATCGCACTGGACTGGCCGTTAGCATTCCCCTTCTCAGATAAGCATACGGGATCAGGAGGCGGGGCGAAAAGGGGCGGATAACCTTAATGTGTCGTCGTTTGCAGTTGCTGCAACCTAATCGCGATTTCTGGTGTGACCGACGCGAAACTTTGCGCTGGGCCTGCTTGCTTATTGCCATTGATGCGGGATTATTCTGTGTCACTGCCATCGCGTTGAACATTGTGCTGATCGAGATTGGAACGTGTGCCGATAAAGGCTCTTAGACCGTCCTGGGGGCCGCGCCAGCCTGGTGGCTGTGCCAACGGGTCAAACTTGGCTCATCCGATGACCCACACTTTGTCCCCAGGTAACATACTGGGTCCACTGGGTCCACTGGGTCCATTCTTGGCCATTGGTTTGTATGATCCACCTAAAATTCTACAAACAATGTCCAGTGTCAAAGAGCTGTTCGCATCTACTACTTACCTAGACTAGGCCATCTTAAATCATGATCAGCAACTAATCTAAAAGCTGAACATGTTGTCTCCACTGGCAGTATCAAAACAAAGCTGAGGTCCGGTCACTCTTGGCTAGATGCGGCAACATGTTCAAAGTTGTTCGAGAACTACTACAAACCCAGGGATTTGTAGACAGCAGCATTGCCAGTAACATCATTCTTTGTGGGACAGGTTGGTGGCAGGGAGCTTTCCTGTCGAGGACACCCTCACAAAATTATTTGGCCGAACAGAATATGAAGAGACGAATACCCCGGAACAGTCGGACGAGGAACCTGAAGTTGAAGAGGCTTTATCTAGAGTGGACAGATCCTGAGAGACCAGAGAGGCGTGGAAAACATTACAGAAAATGGTTGGCCTGGATTATGTGAAGGAGAGAGAGTGCGCCAGTTGCTCCGACACGCGAAAATAAATGCTCAACGAAAGAGCAAATTGTCAGCCATTCGGACTATTTCACTAAATGGGATACTCATGGGTCCCCTGGGACCGGAAAATCTACGGTTGCCAACCCCTATGGTCGCATTCTAAGTGACTTGAAACTGCTAACTAGAGGCGATAGTAAGCATCTAACAAACCACATTCACTGGCCACTGTGAAGAAAGTATATCCAATGCTAATCTATG